AGTGTAAAGAGCACTGAATAAGGTACTGGTAACTTTGGGTTCTAGTTATCTTTGGCTACTGTTTTATTTTCTGTAAATGGGAGCAGTGGGTGAAATAGCTCCTTTTAAAAATGTGTTCTATGATATGCTAGTTCTATGAAGTACTTTGCATGGGATGAGGAGAGGGAGCCCTGTGCTTAAGTGAATCGTAAATAAGCAAAGTCTGTATTCTCAACATATTAACCACTATGAGAAGACTTCTAGTAGATATATGCCTGGATGATTTAATTTGGAATCTTGTTTCCCATACTCAGGTGACACTTGAACTCTTTCCTTTTGCATAACACATGGTGTTGTTGCTGTTCTTATGTGCTGTCGAGTCTGACCAAGTCAGAGCGACCTCTCCTTGAAGTAGATTGCCCAACTTTCCTTCTGAGGGGTGGCTGGTGGGTTTGACCTGCCAGCCTTCTGGTTAGCAGTCAAGTTCCTTAGGCACTACACTACCAGAGCTCCTATAACACATGGTAACACTCTGTATATAGTTGTGGATGTCTGGTAGATGATCTCTAAATAAAATATCCTATATGTCATTATCACTCCATCCTAACTGGATTGTCACAGGTTTTGTTTAAATTTAGGAAAATAGTATAATAACTCCCCTGACGATTTTCATCAAAAATGAAAGACAGAAACCTGAGGTTGTATTCATTTTGCATCTTAGGACATACAAATTAAAGAATATATCCAGATTATATTTTTTTCTTTCAGTCATCACATATGTAGTTAATGTACACTTACAATTAAAATACTTCATTTTGCAAACCAAACAAGCATTTTACTTACCATTGTTCCTACTCCATTTCCCCTTTTATCCTCCTATTATTAGGTCGGTCATACCAAGGTTGTAATTTCAGAGTCAAGAATACTCTTCAATAATTGTCCTCAGGGTTTAACCACCTGGAGAAGAACCATTCTTCACAATGTAGGACAAAACCGTGCGTATTTCAAGGTAATATAGAATGGTGGTCATTTCTTATTTTAATCAGATTATATTATAAATTACTATGCTGCAGATACTATGAAATTAATACAATAGTCCTTATAAATGGAATTATGCTAATTTTATATGACAATTCCTATGAGATTTATCTGAATACACTTCATCTAGCTTGTCCTTCTCATTTTCCATAAGAATCCTTTCTCTCTTTTCTTTCTTTAGTCTTTCCTTTCCTCTCCTTTTTTCTCCATTTTAGTCTTTCACTCTTTTAGTTTTTTTGCTTGGAAAAAAAAAAGATAATTTGTAATGACAAAATTAAAATCTTAAGAACATATATATTTGTTATTAATGTTACACTCCATATTTAATTTAATGTAAATTATTTTCCTCATTTTTCACTCTGAAATCAGGATGGTTAAGATAGAAACCGAGATCTAGACCAAAGCCATTCTGAAGATCATCTATTTGTAGTTATTTTTCCTGATTTCAGTGGTGGTGGACTGGGGATAGAGTCTTGTTTTTTGTTTCTGCTTTACTGAAAAAATGTATTAAGAACCATTCCCAATGGTGTCAATAGAAGTTAGGGTTTGAGATCTTTCACTTCTGCTTTACTTGTATGTGTAGTTTTCTGCCCAAATCAACTCTTTGTTCTAAATACACAAATAAGTACACACTTTCTATTCTATTGCTTCAGAATTGGTTCTTGCCATACAGTCTGTTTCTTCCTTCACCCTCAAATATATATTGGCCAATTTCTCTTTAAATTATACTGGCTCAAAATATGGTATATAGGCTTAAATTAGCCTTTGACAAATTACATCATAAATCCTTGGTAATTTACTTACACTTTTCCCAAAGTTAAAATGATATCCTAGACTTTATGCTTTCTATCAAGGAGATAATAAAGAAAAGAGGTCAGTTTATTGCCCCACGTCTCCAGTAACTTTTAGTTTTAAGGATCAGGAAAAAGGTAAACCGCCAAAGTAGTATGTAGAAAGTTGGCATTGTCTGTAATGGATATACATGTTCCTTTAAGTTTTACAGAATCTTAAAAGACTCCACTTACAGTATTATCCTATTTGAATTAGAAGGTGCCATTACTGAAAGTTCTGTTTGTTGGACTAGGAAGCAATTGCTTGTTGAAGTACAAACTATTTGCATGTCTAGTGTTTGTTAATTTATTACAAAACCCTCTCATGGTCTGGACCCTGGAGTTCTTTCTCTTGATTGTAGTTTAGAAGCTTTCATCTGAACACTTTAAAACAGTAACTTTATTTATTTCTTTTTTGTCCAGTCCAGGACTCTGTCAGCCCTCTTCCTCTTCTTGGGTTCCTGGGGGTCTTGGTGGTATTGTGCATGTTGGGCAGGAGTGTGAGGGAGAGGAGGTTGGTTGTGAGTCCTCCAAGACAACCAGTGGGAAAGAAGGACTCCAAGGGAGGACAGTTATCAGAGTCCTTTGGTGCAGCTCGTAGAGAAGTTCCCTTAAATGAAAGCTGGGCAATGAGTAACTCTGGCAAAAACAGTAACTTTAAAGAACAATGGAGCATTTCTGCACATTTTCTTTTATAGATTTGTCATCAAAACCTTTTGCCTATCATTAATATTGTCCCATCACAAGGATTAATTCCAATAGGAGGGATAACTATCCTCAATATCTCCTGTACACCCACTGTGGCAGAAACATTTGAAACCAAAGCAAAGGTATGTCTATCCTTACGCATGTGTGTACTTTATGTGGGTTTGGTTGGTTTAAGAGATTTATAATAGTAGGTAATATACTGCTAAATGGTATGCCCATCTTTTTTCTTAGAAAACTAATTTCTTTTCTATACGGAATAGGTTTAAATGTTATGATATTTAAATATCTTCTCATTTCTCTCCTCAGTTTTCCATGATGATTAATGATAAATAATATATAGTCAAATATATTTGGCAATGCTTTACCTGGTCTCCGTACAAACAACCAAAAAATTGTCTCTTACTTTCATAAAGAAATTATAATGAAATAAAAATGGTCTTAAATAAAATATTGTGGTTTATAGTCTGAGAATAGGACTGAATTTTTAGAAAATCATAATATTCTTGAAAAATTCCAAAAATACGGTCACCACAATTATGTATTTTACCAGAAAAATAACTTCCACCGTATTTTAAAGGATTATGCTGTTTTTATGAAGCATACCATTCTTAACAGTATACTATAAGGTTTGTTTATTCATACATTCAACAAATATTTATTGAGTGCACATCATGTGTCTCCATTGTAGATGCACGGTATACGAAGAGAACAAGATAACAAGTTGCCTTGCTCTTTAAAGAGCTTACAATCTGGTGGGAAATAGAAACAGCTCAATAGAAAATTGCAATATTGTGTGATAAGTATGGTGATAGAGAAATAAGTGGATTAAGGGAATACACAGGAGAGGTATGCAGCCCGTGCATAACGTATCAGGAAAAGCTTCCTGGGAGAAGATACATCTAAAAGTCACCTAAAAGTTAAGAATTAACTAGATGAAAGGGATAACCGTAGGGTAGAGGAGATAAGAGGGAAACAGTGTTATTAGGAAGTGCAAATAGTGTGTGATGTAAGGTAGAGAAATGGCTCCAAGGCAGATACGATGGACTTAAAGTTCAGCATGACCAGATTATAGACTGCCTGGATAATGGGGAAAGAAGCATCTAGAGACCCAGGCGAGTTTTAGATCATTCGGGACTTTATCAATAATGTTAAAAATGTTGGGCTTCATACTAAGAGCTAGAAGTTTTAAGCACGGGCATGTTAAAATCAGATTTGCATTTTTCATCACTTTGGTTATAGAACAGTGAACTGGGGCCAAAAAAATTGAGTTCAAAGTGATTAATCTGGCAAGAGAAGAAGATATTCTGTTTCAGGAAGCAGGATTCTAGATGCACTTTGGCGATGAATACTTAGGGCTTGGTGATTGAAAATGGTTATATATCAATGAGAGGGGAAAGTCAAGAGTTAGGAGGATGGTAGTACCATTAATGTGAGAAAGAGATCAGAAGATGAAGATCATATTTGGAAGGACATGATGAGTTTTAGGTACCATTTGAATCTCCATGTGGAGAGGTCTAGTAAAGAGACAGTTGCATATAGATTCTGGTATGGAGGTTAAGGATTAATCCTAGAGATGATAAACAAATTTTCCATTGCCCCTGTGATACCCAGATAAGTGTAAGTTTATCAAGTGAAAAGTGATAAGTGAAAGAATAGAATAATAAACTTTGGAATTTAAGTTGAATAGGGACAAAATACCAAAAAAAGAAAGAAACCTCACTGCCAGTCAATTCCAATTCATACCAACCCCCATTGGGTTTCTAAGGTGAAAAATCTTTACAGAAGTAGATTGCCCCATCTTCCTTCTGTGGAGTGGCTGGTGATTTGAACTGTCAGCCTTCTGGTTAGCAGTCAGATGCCTTTGGCACTGTACCACCAGAGACAGAGAGGTAAATTGGGACTGATTGCAAGAACATCACACATCACAGGCTTGGAAGTTGTCATGTCGTCCAGGACCTGTTGTCTCTGAAAATGAGTGAAAAAGCAGGAATGAAAGGAGGTTGTGGGAAAGAGAAGGATGAGTGAATGTATTATTTTGGAGGTTATGCAGTTATGAGGGGTGACAGTGTCAGGTTGTAGTTTAAGTCTCTAATGATGAGAAGGTTAAGGGACCAGTGTGCTAGATAGTGAATGAATTATGTCATCCAAGAGCTGTCAGAGAATGAAAAAAATGATGGGCAGGTGAGTGAAAGGTAGGTACGGGGAGTCAAGATTTCTATATGGGGTTCATCACATGAAGAACATGCCAATCTGCAATTTCCTCTGAATCATTAAATTATGTTTCTTTGGACTTTTAGTCAAACGTTTTATTATGTACTATATTCTCTTCAAGTAAATTGTGAAAATCAAATAGTGGTATGGAAATAACAACTTGGTTAATAAAATTATTTAGCTGACATGCTACTTTCTTCAGTAATTCTAAATAAATGCTAATTTTTCGTATCTTTGCCTATAAACAATGTCTGCCAGTCTGTGAAGAAAAAAGACATACACTCATATTGGTTTCTTAAGTATCATATACATTTAGACTTAAATCTAGATCATGACTTCTTTGTATTCTTGTATAGATAGGGTCTTTCATGGAATGCTATTTTTATGCTTCTGAGATTTTGCTTAAATAATTATATGTTCATATAACCTACAGTTCCTTATTTTGTGGAAATTATACAACTAAATTCTTATTTCACTATCTTGCGTGGTTGAGTGTAAGTGACAAGAGCATAGTCCTTGACTTGGTTCAAGTTTAGCTGCTGATGCTTTGAAGTTGTATGGCCTCAAGAAAAAGACAAATTATTTGGCCTCTCTAAGCCTCTATTTACCTCACTTTTAAATTAGGGATATTAACAATAGGTACCACATAGGATACTAAGGAATAAAATGTAGATAATGTATTTAGCGATTTATAGCTGCTATTATTATTATTGTTGATGATGCTGTTGGTGATGGTATAAAGATCTTTCTATGGGGACAAGCATGTTGCACTCAGTTTCCGGTTTGTTTTGATTTTGAATATTCCACTGAAATTAGAGAAGAAAACAGCTGCTACTGAGAGGGGCCATGAGATCTACTCAGAGGGGTGGAGTTCTGCAGTGAAGTTCCCAAGCCTTCAGCTGATCCCATTTGTGTTAGAGGCTTTTTAAGAGTATTGGTTGTACATAAAAAGAAATATGATGATAAATAAATCTTGTGATATTTATAAATGTTACAAGTGCTTAAATTATAAAATGTTATATAGACACCAGGGAGTATTTCAGCAATTTATGATTACATTTTGATGGATTTCTACAAAGTTTTTCATTTCTCCTAAATAAGGTTGCTATTCACCATTCAGATGTCATAGACCTTAGGATCGGTGGAACTGTTGAAATTGCTGATGTTGAAATTGACCCGGTGAGTATGTTATTTACTTGTGTAATCATCTTATATGTGTGGTGATTTTTATTTGTTGTGTATCCCTAATAGTGCCACTACATATGGATGAATCTCTTACCATTTCTTATTTAGTTTTGCTTGTCTTTGTTGAGGTTTATAACAAAGATGTAATATTTGTAGTATTTAATGAGTTAATTTTAGTTGAATATTGTGTTTCAAAAGTTCATCTAAATTGTTTGTAGCTGTGTTGTATTCCTTTTCACTACTGCATAGTGGTCCATTGTATGGATAAACTATGCATATTCATTCTCTTGTCCATCTAATTAGGTGTATAGTTTTTGTTATAAGCCCTATAGCTGTGAACATTAATATACATATTTTCTGAGCTCATGTGTAAGATGTTCTCTAAGAGTGGACCTGCTGAGACATAAAGTATGTGCATGTTTGACTTCATAAGATAATGTCCAATTTGTCTCCTCAAGTTTGCATTTTTCCACATTCCCTTGCTCCACAGAATGGATTAAGAGGAGTTACTTTTTGACATATACAAAAAAAAAAAATCAAGTTTCCATTATCACTTGTTGGATCTGACAAGGTTAATCTATGGAACTGAGTTAGTGTGTTAAGTGAAACCCATCATGACCAGTTGACCTCAATGCAGTATTTGCCTCAATATTAGAACACTACTGTCTCATTCTCCTTTCCATGTTATATGTGCTTATTTTACTGAGGGTATCTATATTAACTCTACCAGGAGGAGGAATCCTGTAGAGTTTTGTGGTATAGGCACATGCCTGACATGAGTTAGAGTTTAGGCACATGAAACAGATATTTCTTATACACCTATTCCTCATTTATCACCTATCTTGTTATCTGAAATTTTGCATTTATGACAATAGTAAAAATATACTATCCGACTGACTATTTTGCACATTAACGAGGTAATGGGAGTAGTGGCAACAGCTGTGGAGCATCTTCTTCCTGGAAAAGGGTCTCTGGGTGTCCTCTGGGAAAAGCAGGCCACACTGTGCTGCACTCTCTGCTCTCTACACTGGCAGGGGTGCTGTGTCCATCTGCCTCTGGTGCAGACACACAGACAGCAGCAAATCAATAGACACTTGTTCTCGGTCCCCCGGCTTCTATGTGGCCTCAGGCATTACTGCTTGAAATTGCTATGGGGTGAGAAGGGAGGAAAGATAGAGACATGGGAGAGGATTTTTGGAAGAAATGCATGTGAGCTGAACTGAGCCTGAAGCCTTCACGTCGATGGGGCTAGGTGTGTGGCCAGAATCCCAGCATCTCTGCTGGGAGTGACTTGCCAGACTTGGAGGTCAGAGCAGGCTCTAGGATCATGAACCTAGCAGGGCTTGCATGACTGAGAGTAGAGCCCTGGAGGTGGCTCCACAAGTGAAATTCTGACCCAGATCAGGGGGAGGGTAAAGTGGTTAAGCGGTCAGCCCTCTAGTCACATAGCTCAACATTATCCAGCTTTGACTCCTCCAAGTCTCCTTCTTCACAGAGGAATAACCCAAGACAGGAGTCGTAACAGTGAATCTTAGCTGTAATTATTTCTATGGTCATATTTTCTAAATTAAAAAGAAATCAGACAAATGGATCTAAAACAGTTTAAAAAAAAAAAAATAGTCCTCCATTTTCACATAATGCCAGTTTTTCCTTTGCAACCTAACGATGTCCTTAAGTGTGGAGTGAGTATATATTTAAGATAGGTGTCAGGTAGACGCTAGGGATATAAAGATGAATCAGGCTTAATGTCTTACAGGAGAGAAACATATGTAAACAAACAAATGGACTAGAGGATGCAATAATGTAATTAAATATAGGGTACAGAAGTGGTCGTGAACACAGAGAGAGTAATTCTGGCTTTTCTACCTGGATTTTGAAGGATGTGCAGTGTATCATCAGCTAATTACAAATTAGGGATGGGCCTTCCTGACAGAAGGAACAAGATAAAGACACAGAGAAGTGAAACACCAAGGTGTAGCTTGTAACTGACAAGTCATAAAGCTTACTTGAAGTATTAAGTGATAGAGTTAGAGTGGAGCCAGCTAAGGCTAGAACATGAAGGGAAAGATCATAGTGCACTGCTAAGGACCGTGGGCATTGTTCTGTAGAAGGCGGGGCACCATCAAAGTTTTAAGAAGGAAAGTGATGCAGTCAGATTCTCAAATAGATTAATTGTGGCTTAGTTGTGGGAGAGGTCATTGGAGAAAGTGAAAATCTAGAGATTAAATGAAAATGATAAGTTACTGATCCCATGCAGTTAAAGTAAGGGTAAGAGGTGAGGAAAGAGACAGAAGAACAGAACTGGGTAATCAATTGCATATAGAGAGTAGGGAGAGGAAGAAAAAAAAAAGTGTCTAATTTATAGAGTCCTTTGCACTAAATAATATCCTTGATAAACATAACAGTATCATTTGCAGTTTACATTCTTTCATACACTATTACTCTACTTTCTAATCATTATTTCTTTTTCAATTCTAGGGTGAATTTAATTTCTCTGGCACTTACGTTGGTACAACCCAAATTATTCCATTTCAAATAATAAATAAAGGTGTAACACGTGCTAGAGTTGAGCTTGATCTAAAGAAACGCATAAATTTTTCCTTAGATTTTAAAGACAAATCAGGTATGTAGTTTATTTTGTAATATTATTGTAATAACAAAATGTCTTTAAATTAGTCTAAATTATAATAGGAAGAAATACTATAAGTCCAGGGCAATCATTCTTAAATATTTTTAATAACTCTGTGTATTTGTTTATTGTAGTAAATATATATGTAACAAGATATTTGCCACTTCAACATTCTTCACTCACACAGTTCTGTGACACTAACTTATGTTCATCATGTTGTTCAACCCTCAGCCTTATGTGTTCCCGCATTTTTTCATCACCCTTAACAGAAGCTCAGTGCCCCCTGAGCATTAAGTTCTCCTTTTCTCCTCCCTCCTACCCACTCCTGGTAAGCACTAATATAATAAACTTTGGTTTCTATACACTTGCCTCGTGCAGATATTTCATAAAAGTGGGGTCATACAACATGTTCCTTTTGTGACTGACATGTAAGTGCTCAATGAGGGAAAGGACCACACTATTTTTGTTTTCTATTAGAGTTGTCCGATATTCTCACTGCCATTGAGTCAATTCTGACTCATAGCAACTCCCATTGGGTTTCCAAGGATGTAAATCTTTACAGAAGTAAACTGCCTCATCTTTTTTTCTGTGGAGCAGCTGGTGGATTCAAACCACTGACCTTTTGGTTAGCAGCCAAATGCCTTAACCATACTGTTGTGCATACAATAAACACTCAAATATTTATTAAAGCTAGCTTATAATTTTTAATTTTATAAATTATAAGTTTGTAAATGGGAGCTCTGGTGGCGTAGTGCCTAAGGTATTTGACTGCTAACCAGAAGTCTAGCGGTTCAATCCCTCCAGCCACTCCTCGGAAGGAAGGTTGGGCAATCTACTTCCATAGTGATACAGCCTCAGAAACCCAAGGAGGAGTCACTATGGGTCAGATCCGACTTGATGGCAAATGTATTAATGAATATATTTCATTGGTTTATTTATTAATCTATTTTATTTTTATTATTTCCTAGATATAGAGAGAATAATAATTACGTTTATCCATTCTAGATGGGTATTCTCTGCTCTATAATGTGTGTATCTTTTCCTGCATCACAAACAATGCTTTTAGTAACATACACTCAAAAGATTTTTTTGTTGTTATTTAATGGTTTTTACATCATACTAAGGGTGAGTAAAATGAAATAGGACTATGGTCTGAGTAATTGAAGTTAATTTACAGAGAGGAGCAATGGAATATTACTATTCCATGGATCAATAATAATAATAATAAAGTTTAGAGAGAAAATAAGATTTTTAGAATTGTTTAGATGAGAGCAGAGGTTGTGTTATATACACCATTCAATCTTGGAAGAGTTCCTTTTAGAAGTTTATATAATTGGTTACAGTTTTTGAACCTGAAGTTTGCTTAATGTGGGACATTAGTTTCTGTATCCTTACTAGATGACCTTGTGCCTGGAATAATTTCATTTTCTTAATAAGTTTCTTTGTATAAAATTGTTGTTTTATTTGCAGAATTCCTGAGTCATCAGAGGAGGTCTGGTCCTTCTCTTTTCAATCTTCATTGGAGAGGGAGTATCCCAGCTGTTCTTGGGCCTAAGATTCAGTCATTTACTTGGCTTTGCTTCGCCTTTATTCTTTCTCACATTTGCCTAAATATGACTGTGATACGCTTCGTGAACTTTTGAGTTTTTGTTAATGGCTTTACTTTTATCAGTTTTGCTAGTGAAATGTATGTTTGCCCTAGTTTTGCGCATTGGTTTTACTGGTTAACATCTTGCTATTAAGAACTATTCTTTATCCAGTAACATGTTACAGTCCTGCTCACTCAGTAGTAATTACTTTTTGATTCCTACAAACATTGTTTTCTGTCTTCTAGTGGAATATGCAGACCCTAAATTTCCCAAAAAATATTCTATGGAAATAGAAGAAAATACATCTCTGGAATGTGGCCTAGCATTTTCACCTGAAGAAGTAAGTTCAGCTATTACTGATAATACTGAGGAGTAGTGGAGTTGTGGATAAGTCCAACCAAGAAACCTAAATGTCACCTAAATTCTTTTTGTGGTGTATCATGTTCTAACTTGTGAGCTTGCCTTTAATTCATGCTCTTTAATTAAAGAGTAATTGTACTCTTTAATTCGTTAAAATTATTGCTAGAGGTATCTGACCAGTGCTTGTGAAGTGCCTCCAGTACACACACTGTGAACCCATAGCCTATGGTCTCTGTGAAGCTCTTTAGAAAATTCAAGATATGATGTGTTGTGAAGGAGGAGAAAATTAAAACTAACCTAAAAATCACTTATATCTGAGCTTATACTTATATTTGAGGGGTGTATGCCTGATGCTCTTCTAATTACCACCTGAAGTTACCAAGGATATGCTATGTCCCCTTGAAGTTTAGTGATCTTTAAACAGTAACATTAAAAACAAAAACAAAAACAAAAAACCAAGTAATTAGGTAATAATAATCAAAGGGGGAAAAAAAAACAAACTTTCCTAGAATGTGTCCAGAAGGAAGTGCCAAGTTTCAAGGGCCAGCTCTAGGTGGCCCAAGCAGTTAAGCACACAAATACAAGCCAAAAGGTAGCGATTTGAACCCACTCAGAGGTCCCTTGGAAGACAGGCCTGGTGATCTGGTGCTGAAAGATCACAGCCTTCAAACCCCAAGGACTGTGGTCTACCTTGTGGTCTATGAGTTAGAGTATGTTAAAAATATTATTTACAACTTTTTGAATTTTATGAATTTTGGAATTACTTTATCAAGTTAAATGTTCTGTGAGAATTTTCATCTGTGGTGAATTAAATTACTAAAAAAAAAAAAAGTAGAGAGAAGTGATTCTTTATTACATTGAGGCTTCCTATTCAGAAATAAATTTTTTTTTTATTTTACTAAAGAATTTTCCACCCTTCAGCAAAATTTTGAAATATTTTAAAGCAGTAATTTTCCTGTGCTGTTTTGTTCAGTAAGGAGCCCTGGTGGTGTAGTATTTAAAGTATTTGGCTGCTAACTGAAAGATCAGTGGTCCGAACCCAGCAGCCACTCTGTGAGAGTAAGATGTGGCAGTCTGCTACTATAAAGTTTGTTGTTATTGCTGTTGTTGTTATGTGCCATCAAGTTGGACTCATAGCGACCCCTCCTTGGGTTTCCGAGGCAGTATCACTACGGAAGTAGATTGCCCCATCTGCCTTCCAAGGAGTGGCTGGTGAGTTTGAACTGCCAGCCTTCTGGTTAGCAGTCAAGTGCCTTAGGCACTACGCTACCAGAGCTCCTGCTATGAAGTTTACAGCCTCGGAAACCCTAGAGGGCATGTCTACTCGACTTTGTCATATATGGTTGTTATGAGCTGGAATTGACCTGACGGCAAAAGGTTTTATTATGGTTTTGTTCATTGTAAATATTTGGCTTTTATGTAGTTGATACTACTGTATTTTGAAACTGATTATTGTTGTTAATGACCTAGAACTATCTTACTTTAAACTTTAATTCTAATTACACTTATTTTATTTTAGATTTTACGGGAATAGTCTAATAGACTGCATATATTCCTATTTATCTCTTCCATTTTTCTTATTGTATTACATTGTTCAGAATTTCCAGAATAATTTCAAATTATTTTATTAGTCTCATTCTTGATTTCTTGTGAAATAATTTAGTGTTTCAAACTCATATTTTTAAACATATTGTTATCTCTTATTTACCAAAATTTTTATCAGGAATAAGTGTGAATTTTTAACTGCTCAAATACAATTATGCCATCAATTATTTTATTTGTCAAATGAGGACAATAGTATGATAACATAACTCACTCACTGCCATTACGTCAGATCCAACTCATAACAACCCCTCCTTGGTTTTCCGAGGTGGCATCACTATGAAAGTAGTTGCCCAACCTTCCTTCCTAGGAGTGGCTGGTGGGTCATAGTTCACCACTATATACTAGAACATTTTTTGATATACATCAGACAATCCATAAATATCTATCCAGTGAATAAATTAAATTGCAGTGAATATCCTTGCATGTTCATTTCTGGGCATTTATTTCATTACTGCTTTTGGATACTTAGAATTGGAATCAATGAAGCAAATGGTATTTGCATTTTAATTATTGATAAATAATCCAATTGCCACCACAAAATCTGCTTCAGTTTATGCTTTCGTTGTCATTCATTTAATACTTACTGATCACCTACTAAAGTCTCCAGAATTAATATGGGGCCTGAGGGTATAGTAGAGAGTTTACACATATACCTACTCCTCACTTATCGCCTGTCTTGATAGCCAACATTTTGCATTTACGACTTTAGTAAAAAATGTACTATCTGATCTGACTATTTTACACATTAATGATACACATCTAGAAGTAATGAACAAGGTTCAAGGTGAGAATAACACTGATTGTAATGGTTAAG